TAACTTCATACTCGTTATGGAGTTGAACATCGTCATCAGACTCTAAAGGTCTTTTTGGTTTTTTATTGAGCCTTGGACGGCATTTATCACATGTTTTAAACTGTTTAGGTGCACCTCTGGCATCATAACCCATAAATTCATGACACGATTTAAAAGTTTTACAACCGTTGCAATAAGGATCCATATTTTATAGCGAAGAAAAATATAGCGAAGAAATATCAATAAGAATGGAGATGAAAATTATCATTGTTCGTTTTCTTTATTATTGATATCAATATGATTTATTTTCCTTTTTACTGTATTATTGATATTGATATGATTAATTAATTGATTATACAGTAACTCTTATTACATAGTACAAAGTCAATTTCACAGCCACAGCCACTCACGTGCCCGAGGTTTTTTGTTGATTGCGCTGGGGAAGATGTACAACCACAGTTACAGGGTTTTGAGTTTTCTCAGCCACAACGATAGTTGCCAAATCCGTTTTTTTAAATTCAATTTTTCGCCTTCCGTAGGAATTGAACTTATACTTTACCACTTGGGGGTGCGACAACTTCACCACTTCACTAAGTCGCCACACCCCAGTATCAATATTTTATATTAATTTGTGCTAATATATCTTATACTGTATAATATTATTATAACAACTCTAATTACATGTTCTATATAGTTTTGTACAATATTATCTTATGCAAAATATATAAAATATATAGCTTATTTTGTATTAATTTATAGTTTATTTTGTATAACTTATTATTTTATTAATTTTTTGAATTTAATACTATTTTGAAATTATTTATACTATTTTAAAGAACTTAGTATTTAAATAATGCTTATAAATTAATAATTGCTACAGAAGTAGCAAAATTTTAAGGAAACAGATCATATAAAATATAGCATGCTTTTCTTATATATAAGAGTATTAACTTGCTTTAACAAGTTAAATAATCTAATTCAATTTTATTAAAATTTAATATATAGTATTAGCAAAAAGATCTCAATTTTTAAATAATTAATTTAATTAAATCATTAATTAAAATTTAAAAATTGCAAATATTGAGTTTTTAGTATTTTAGATTTTTAAATTAGAATATACAGAACATTTAAAATATAAACATAATACTTCTTTTTAATTAAATAATATAGTTAACTTAAAAAATTATTATTATATTAAATATATAAAAATATAAATTTAAAATAAAAATTGCAAAAATATAAATATATTTTAATCAAAAATTTAATTGTTTAAGTTGTATAATAATACTAGAAATATCTGTATAATAAAAAATCTTGAACTACTAGAACAAGAAATAAAATACTTATTAAAAAAAAGCAATTTTTTATTAGTAAAATAGTATAAAATAAACTTTTATATATTCAAAAAAATTTGTTAGCAATATAAAAAAATTATATAAAAAAACTCTATTCTTCTTATTTTCTAATATATATAATCTTGAGTTTGGTTAATCAAATTTGTGTTTCAATTTAATTTATATATTTTGATCATTAAAATAATTCAAATAGTATCAATATTAATCACTTGATAACAAAATATTAATAATAAGTTAAAATATATAAATTTAGTTGAAACAAAAATTTGGTTAACCAAACTTATAATAAAAATTGATTAAAAATTAATCAAAATTTTATATATAAGGCTATACAAACTTATACAATCAATTTTTATATTTCGAGTGGATCAGTTAGGTTGAGTTTTGAAATTTAAATTTTTTTAATATATTAGCCAATAAAAATGCTTAATGTACAATTATGTGATTAAACCACATAAATATCTATTATTGTAAGCATGTAAAAAGCACTTTTAAAGTATATTTAGGCTATACAAACTTATATGTTCAGTTTTCATATAACCAACTGGCCTCTCATGAACTGCCAACCCAGATTTTAACTTTTTTTTGAAGAAATTTTTATATTAAAAAAAAATTATTTATGAATTTTATTGTTTTGCATTGGGTTATAGTAAAAATTTTATATATAAAAAATATTTTAATAAAGCAATACAAACTTATATTATTGATCTTCATAACACTAACTAAAACTTTAGTAACTAACAGATTTTAAAATCTTTATTGATATTTAGCAAGAATATCTGGTAAACTGATTTTATATTCTAAAGAATTTTTAATAAATGAACAGATTTTTATATTTACTGAGCATGAAGATAACCTTTCAATTCACAAAATTGAAAACATTTTGTATCTAAAGTAATAAATCAGGTATGTAGCTGTATAATGTAATTGTGCTTAAGCAAAGAACATAGTGTGATTGCTAGACTTGTATCAAGGATTTAAGTGTAGTGATAAACTATTTAGCATTTGTAAAATATTACATATCCAATTATCAATTATCTTATGCAATCTATTTCAAAATATTATTAATATTATTAATTGATTAAGCTTGTGGTATATGTATGAAATTAAATAAAATTTGAATCAATTACTATATATACTATATAGCCTACACATCTTGTACATGAAATATACAATACCTCTATAAAAAATGTTCGAAAAATGTATCCCAGCTTTTTCAAGATTATCGATCCATTATTGTTTCAGAAAATGCTCATTTTTTGGAACAAAAAATATACAAATTCTTGATCATTTCCATAGAATCCTAATAAATTTCATATAGAAATCAAATCTGGGTAAGTTCGTTTCTACAAGTAATTTTTTGTACTTCATTACAATTAGAAGCTGGGATTTGGTTTTTATCTGAGATTTATTAGAATTCTACAGAAATGACCAAGAATTTGTGTTTTTTTCCAAAAAATGAGTATTTTCTAGATTAATAATGGAACGATAGTCAGGAAGACAATCACCATCTATATATCTATACCCTATGAAAAAGTTGTCTATGTAGGTACATGTTTCTACGGAAAGACACGGTCAAGTGTGGCACGGCAAGATGTCCGGGTTACGTCTGTGATCTGTGTTGAAACGTTGAATTGCTCCGAATTGGACTGTTTACCTGAACATTTTGGACTGTAAATGGACTGGGTTTTGCTGCACTTTACTAAACCAAAACGTATGGGTTTTGGCATGGATAATTGCATGTAAAGTAATGAAATAAAACATGCTAATACGTGCTACCCAATGCACGGCCAATATCATAAAATGTAATATTAGTGCCATTCTGTTATGTTTTGGTTCATGTTTCATGCCTTTACGTGCCACATGACACGTGCCTATCCAGACAACTCTGTGACAACCCGCACCAACACCCAGTCCACTTTTCTCATAGGGATATAATAAAATATATTAAAGCCAGTATCGAGTTATTCAGCTTGGCCAGATCGGCAACGGTATACAATGAACTTATAAATGAATATAATTACATTTGAAACTGGTGAGCTGATAGATCATAAATTTATGTGTAGGTGATTGATCTTGTTAAAGTCTACAATATTCTTAAAGCAAACGAAATGTTTAAAAACTATTGATTCAAATTTCATGCTATGCCGAAAATTAGATACTTAAAGAAAGTGTGAGTGAAATAAAATCATTTTCTACTAGTGATAAATTAAAAATAGCTTTGATTAGTAAAAGTTTATGTCGCAGTCTTTACGAAATACAAGTTTTTAAAACTACCTAAAACTATAGTTAATACAATTTATGTATTCAGTTGGGTTTCCGAAGTCATTCCGAAGACAAATCAATTTAAAAATTTTTATAATAAACTTCATTAAGAAAGTATTCTTTTGTGGTAGTAGGGCCCAAACTGCACCTGAAAATTAATAATTAGATGGGTAATGTTACACCCGGAATTACCTCTTATAAAATCCGGTATAACGTTTTACTATAGCGACGGGTAATTTAAGTATTTAAACAAGAATGCCGATTTATGCTAAGTAAACTATATGATTAGTGCGGTTACGCTTTTAAGAGGATTGAGTGATTTGCACTTATGAAAGAGGCAAACGGCTAAATGTATGTGAAGATACAGATAGTCGTATCAATAAGTTTACAGTTTATTCAACAAGTCTCGAGTTATACGTGTATGAAGACACTATAACCAAGTTATAATTTATTCAAGCGATCCGTGTATGAAGACACGATCACTCTTTAGGGAATTGTATGATTTATTCAAAAAAGTATTCGAGTTGTTCGTGTATGAAGACACGATTACTCTATATTTATTGTCAAGTTGTTGGAACTTCGAGTTCTGTCTTTACAAGAGTAATTTCTAAGTCTATTTATACCTCTTGAACTATCGATCTCTATTACTATTTTTACAAATTACAAATTCACTAGAACCACTAATTTTAACAGACTATTAACGTTATAAATGCTTTAGAACTACTGGTCCTATCTATATTACTTTAGCGATAGTTAGCGCTAGCTAGCGCTAACTAGCGCTACTTAGCACTCTTGGCATTGGTGTTACATTTCTGCTTAATATCACATGATGTTAAATTACAGGGGTTAACAGTAAATTTCTGTGCAAAAATCATGAAAATCAGTAAATTTCGGCGCGAAAATCCATTGCATAAAACATTTTAGGTGGTTTGTGATTTGCACATCACCCGAAATTTATTAACCAATAGACACAAAATTTCAGAACACGATTATCTCAAAATCATATTTTTTCGACTAGCATGGATGAGTGAAATAAAAGCGTTTTCCACTATAGACACTGCTCCAGAGCCTATTATGCTAAAGAAGTTAGCACGTTAATATTCTTATGGACCGGACTTAGGGTTACAGCTATCATAATAGCGATAAATTAAAATAGCTTGGATTAGTAAAAGTTATGTCGCAGTTGTTATGAAATGCAGGCTTTTAAAACTACGTATAACTATGGTTGATACAATTTACATATTTAGTTCGGTTTTTGAAGACATTTCGAAGACAAACCAATTTAAAAATTTTTATAATAAATCTTATTAACATTAAGAATAAAAGATTTGGGTAAATTTTGGCGCGAAAATCAAGATTTGGATAAATTTCGGTGCAAAATACCCGATTTATTAACAATAAACACAAATTTTCAGAACATGATAAACTTGATTATCTCAAAATTATATATTCAACTACAAAGCCCCATACTTTATGCTGTTTTTTAATTGTATCTTTTATTCAGCTAATAATTATAACAATCTTATTTTAAATAATGCTTCATTGATGATTTTGGTGGTTATGCCAGGCGAATTAAGTGTAACAATTGTATATAAATGGGTTCTTTCTTGAACTAAATCAAGTGCTTCAAAATACATATTATGAATGCCGATAAAATACGGTTCATTAAGGTTGAGTATATATGCTTTCAATTATTAGCATTTAGGCGGTACTTATATTACAATAGATCAATGCAAAAAAATATTAGAAACTGAAAATATCATTATTTCGCAAGAATTTAATAATTCAACTTTGTTTTTTCACATGATATGCATGGAGGCTTTTATTGATAGATATATTAAAAAACATAAAAATTTTGGATTCCTGCTTTGCTAATCCGGCCGGGATATGAAAACCGAAAATATAAGTTTGTACGGCCTAATAACCCGGCCTTTTCGTTTTATCAAGGTTATGCTGTATTGTTGTAAGTACTTGGAGTTCTGTAAACCCAGTATCTGCTTAGATTGGTTCTAAAACCATTTAAGTGGATTTGACTTAAAACAATTTAGGCGAAAATGAATCTTATGCATAGACAAGCAAACCATTATAGTGAACCTTGACAAGTGAAAACTAATTACTTATTCAAATCTGCAATATATTAAAAAAATTTTTAACATATAAAATTTTTTTACCGGGTTACTGGGTTGTAAGATAAAATTTTTTAAATAATAATTTTTTTTATTAAAAAAATTTTTTTAAAAAAAAATTAAAATCCGGGTCGGCGGGTCATCAAAGGTTAGGTAATGATATGAAAACCGATAGTATAAGTTTATATGGCCTAACTATTAGAATTTTTAAAAATACGAACTATAAAAAAGTAATTATTCGAATTTAGAAAAATATAGAAAAAATGAAAGGATATACTAATCGGGACTTCGGGATCAGTGAAAATATTTACTCTAGGGAAATAGTTTAATCACACGAGTTACTTCTTTTCTTAATAAAGTAGAAAAATATGCGCCAAAATATTAAAAAGTACCAAATAATTCACAAAGAACAGTTCAGAGCGTTTCTATACAAAAAGAAAAAGAACCTCATGCTTCAATTTAGAATTTTTTTTGAAAAAAAACAAATGAGAATTATAGCAAGTCGTAATATATGATTCCAAGTGCAATCTAAAATTTGATCGGAAAATCCTAAAGCCAAATTATGAATGAATTAATTTTCTCATAGCGATAGTCCCAACCAGGGTTTAAATTACTATAGTAATTTGCTGGCCTGCAGCCTATTGTTTAAAGTGATTTTCTTGATTCATCAAAATTAGTGTATTGTATATATTATTGTTCTAATATAATATAGAGCAAGAATGACACTTTTGCATGGCCGCATTTCAATATGGTCGTGTCCCAACTTGCAACTCTTGGAGAAATATCCTGTATCACTTATTATTATATTGACAAAAAAGACAATGCCAACGGTGATACGTACGTACGTTAAAAACAATGACATAGATAAATAAATCAATCGTATATACATTACGATTACAGCAAGCAAAAATCTGGTTCACATGATTATTGTCTTTGATCAAAACCCTTTTATGTATATACATATTTGCTTGTTAATGATTATCCTACACGTATACGTAATGAGTTTGCGTTCATATGTTCTAAAATTGAACATGGAATTCTAAGCCTCTTTTTTTTACTACATAGTTTGTGCATAAAATCAAGTCTCTATACCATATTATCCGGAATTATCCAGGAATGCTGAAGGTTTTTTTTTAGGCGTATTTTTGTACCACAATCTTTGTAAGTATAACCAAATAAGTATCAACCAATTCGGTATTGATGAAAGAGAGGCAACAAACACAATGGCGGCATTCGCAGTTTATTTCCATTTTTAAACATTAAAACTCAATTTGTTTGTATTCTAATATTGAATCCTGATATATTTATGCATGCGAACAAAGTTTAGATCAAGTGGCGATTACAAACAAGAATAAGGCGTAAATAAACATTCTTTAGGCCGATGCTGATAAAGAAGACATGATATTGTATTAATATATTTCAGAGATGATGCGGTTATTTCATTGTAAAAATGGCAATTTAGTAAAGGGAGACAGTTGTACAGTGGGGAATTCATGAATCAACAAATCAAATCAATTATATCTCGCGATTATCAAACAGTGGGGTGGAAGTGATGCGTAATATCTATTTGTCACAAAGCAGTTATTACTTAGCGACTGAAGATATACTTGCCAAAATTCCACCAAATCCAAAACATAAAAAAATTGTCACAAATCCGAACGCATAATGAAGTCATTCAAAGCTCTAAATCTAGAGGAAGCATAACTTAAGATTCAGGCCGATGTTACACCACCCCACAGTTGCTTATGTGTCACGTAGTGATACGAACATATATCATATGGTCTTCTTAATATAGAAATAATTTGTATCAACATCGGTATGTTGTAATAGATAATCAATCTTGATTTAGAAGCCTCGAGAAAAGTTTAAACTTATGCATGGCAGTTTATTTTTTTACCTTTATGTAGAAACAAATGCTCTGTCTATAGCTGACCATTTTTTGCATTGTATGTTCTACCATTCCTGATCACGCCATAATTAGTCGCCACAAAGTGTTCCCTTATTCCTTTGTTTCATTTGTATATAACTGTGGCTTTCAATTAATTGCAATGTTTTTTTTAAGGAAGTTCAATCTGCATGCGTCGTATCGAATAAGCTTATAACGCGTTCATTAATAAAATGCACAATAGGTTCAAGAAGTATATCCTGGTCGCACGGAAAACATAGATTAATAAATATATCAGTATTGCGCAAATTAATTACTATAATATATATTATCATTATAATCTATCAGTATAATTTCCATGAGCAATGACTTCAATAATATGATTTGCATGTTATTTATTAAATTTATAAAGATTAATGCATCTAGGTTTTCCCATTCCTTTTGAAGTGTTATCTTTAGTATTCGTGTGTTTGTGGCGGTAGTCTTCGTCGCTGAACATTATCTTTCATTATTATACTTTTTGCATTGATTCATGTTTTCCCGTGTAACCGTAATATACTTTCCGAGCCTAGTGTAGTAAATACATTTTATTAACCTTATGAAAACTTCAATAGAAAACATTCATTAATGAATGATTTGTGGATTTTTGCATCGCGATATTTTTTTATATAAGGAGGTTCTTCCTGTTTCGCTCCCCTTAATTCTTTTTCGCTTCTCCTTAATTCCAAGGTTCTAATGAAATAATATTCCTTTTTTCCTAATCCTCCTAATCCTAAAATCGATTGTACCCTGAAATTTTTCTCTTTTCCGAAATAATGTCTTTTCCACAACAATTCACTCTTTTAACCTCGTCAATTCTTGAAGAGACAATAAGTCTTATTCAATGCGACCTCGGTTACTACTACATTGAGTGCCATGATAAAAAATCAATTTTACGAACTCCTGATGTGGAGGACGCTTTGAGGATTAGCAATGGAAAAAAATCGCCTCCAAAAAGTTTTATTCTCTTCAGAAAAAGCTTTCAAAGTAGCATTTCAGAAATGTGCCTCAAAATCGAAAGGGCACAAATTTCTAAACATGCTACAAATATGTGGGGATATATCAAAGAATCCCAGCCGCATTTGTGGCACTACTTTAAGCAAGTGTCTGAAGAAGCTACGGATCGATATAACAACTCGAACCTAAAAATATTTATGTTCGAGTATCGATCATCAGAAAATAGACAATCTCGTATAAATCCTCATAATCCACACGAATATTCGGTAAATGATTCTTTATTAGATGAATTTACATTTGATTCATCTGGATCAGATGAATCTTCATTCGATACGTCAAGACTTGATAGCGAAGAGGTCAAAGATTTAATCTTTGACCTTTACCCCGAACTTCTGTAAATATAATACTCAAATATATGCATTCCGGAATACATAATATGAAATTATATATAAAAATATATATGTAATTAAGATTAAATAAAAAAAAAAAGGACTACTGTAGCATCCAATTAAGCATTGTTTTTTGTATAATTACGTGTAAAATAATTTTTATTAGAATTTTCTCTTTATTATGTATTAGAGAACTTAGCACAATAATTGTTTCAGCTCATTATAGTAGTTTCTACAAAGTTACTAGTGGAATTGTGCAAAATTTGCCTCTCCTTTGAGCTGACATTGAAACAATTGCTGGGTTAAGTTTTGGTACCATATTATCTTGAATTAAAAGCTGAATTTAAGAAAAACTAAAGACAATATAAATTAATGATTATGTATTCAATTATCCATAAATCTTATTACTATCTGATAATCTTTGTATTCCTTATACAATAATTGCAATCGAAAGAACGTCTATGATAATGTTTATCACGTGACAGTAAGCAAATAAAGTTCGCAACGATAAGATTTGTTATCGCTATTGTATATTTTATTAAATCCATTGCAGTACCCTAGCCATAGCTAAAACTACGTACCACATTCTGATTGGACGAAATAAATAATCAAACATCCTGACAAATACAGAAATACCTATCTAAAATCACCAAAAAAATTTTTTTTATCTAGACAAATAGTTTCGAGATATCCTCGCTCAGAATTCCGAAAAAAAAAAATGGATTATTGATTCCATCCAATTAGAATGTGACTACTCAAGTAGAATCACACTTTTTTGCTCGTACATAAGCACTGATCAATCAAAATCATGACACGTTAGTCACGTGTTGAACTAGTTTTATACGTATCCCCACTTCGCTATCGGAGTAATATAAAATTGATTGATAACACAGGTATATAATCCGATATGTGAATAATTAGTAGAATCAATCAGAAGAGGGGGGAAATTAGTAAACTCTTTTAATTGTAGCAAAGTCATTGACATCTGCCAAGTAGACCGTGTAATATTGATATTTTTTTCACTAGCAATTTATTGCCAGAATCTTTTGACTTTACAACGTTATAATACGCATTACTCCATCGGTTTTACTATAGTTTTTGTTCTTTAAAATGT